TGTATTTGGAATTTCAAGTTGAAAACTTAGCTTTCAAAAAAAAAAGCACTAGTCAGGTCTCGAGAGACTGTTGTTAGCCAAGACCTAAAGGACGTCACCTGCTTACACTAGAAAGCAGTTTTGTCAAATCAGTTTAACTGGTGAAGCCTTTATTAATCAGCCAGCTCTTCTCTAAGGACTGCACATTTTATTGCTCAAGACTGTCTTGCATTGCCATTTGAAGGACTTGTGTTCTAGATGACCCACTGAGTTATTCAACCAATCTTGTTTCAAGATCCAAGTCTCAGGTTACTGTAGGGAGATAATTAAATAAATTTGAAAAACCTAGCCTCAAGATTAAAATGCTAATTTTGTATAACAAAATAATTATGCTAAACGGAGAGCCCACAAAGCCCATTCGGTAAGTAGGTGACAGAGAAAGAAACACTGTTTCTCTTAGCTCGAAGAAATTAATTCTGTTATGAAAATAAATTCAGAATCTTCAGTGTTATTACACTGCAGTGTTATCTGCATTAAAAATCACATATTAAACAAATGCACATGCAAGATAGTAAATGAAGTGGCAAACAGTTTTAAATAACATCTTTAATTAAAGTTTTTGCAAAGGCAAAATATTAAACTTAAAATAGGTCTTAGTACATCAAAATACTAAGTTCTCTAATTGTATTCCAAGCATGGCCTTTGAAACATAATATCCTGTATATCACAGAGGAGCAACCTTGATCTGCAATTGTACAGAATGAATTTTACAAACATAATAAATATATTTACCCCCTTACACATAACAGTATATGTACAACAGCAGTTGACAATAGTAGCTCAGAACAGCAAAAAAGGATATTCCCCCACTCCATATTTTATTGGTACCCTATGCATCTTGGAACATGTCTCATAGGATGACTGTACACATAGCTAACCCAAGGCAGTTCTTCCTGTTAAAAAAGTTCCTTTTGTTCCACAATGTCTAATCCACCAGATAATAATTGAAAGACACACCGCATGAACTGCTTTAAAAACAAACAGTAATAAGGAAAAAAAAAAAAAAAAAAGGTAGACAACAGGGAAACCAAAGGACTGTTTTTATACATTTCCCAACCAAATACTGTAAGGGGAAAACAAGACTTTAAATGCAAGAAACTGACACGCAAAAATGTGCAAGTTTCTTCATCTTCTGTAATAATTAATCTCAAAATCTGAAAACAACTATGATTTCAATTGGGGGGGTGGAGAGAAGGGGGTAGCTTAGGGCACCACAGCCCCCCCCAATGCTCGGTAAGGCAGCCCAATATTAATCCAGCGTGCGATATCCTAAAACCACTGTTAACTTCCTGCACTTCTTGTTGCATTCTAATCGGGAAGCTTTGGGGCTTGGGGGGATTTTGAGGTTTTGGGGGCTTTCTTTGTTTCAAGGAACTTTTATAAATCAAAGAGATTGACTCAAAAATGAACTTCAGTTAACCAGACCTCTAACTCCTGCACTGAAATTACAGAATTTTACTCTGAGATTGTTTTATGGTGCCATAATCACTGTTAACTACCAAATGGTAAAACTATCTTCACAGAACAGAATGAAATTCAACACTCCTACACTGCAGAAGAAATAGAAAAACATTTATAAAAAATTCTGTTGTATGACACAGTATTTTCTTCGTGTTTTTCTAGGAACTGTGCTTCAGAATCGTGTATGATAGTCTTGGAAATAAACTGTGACCACAATTTTTGCTTTAAATCGTGATTAGGGAACTGAATGATGTTCAAATGCAACTTCTGATTTCAACGCAGGAACAAGGAATATGAAACTTTAAAGAAATCTTGTGACCAACCAGCAACTGAGGGGGGAATAAAATGATACTTTTTATTTAAATAGTCCAATATAAAGTTCCTTATGTGACTAAATTCTCTATTACCTCCTTAACAGAAAACATACTTCAATTCATTTTCAACTTAGATGTTTTTAAATAATTGCACACACTAAAACCCAACAAAATTAGAACAAAACTGTTACTTTTATGATTGAAGCACTGCAGGAAATCTACTCGCTCAGGAATCAAAAAAAAAAAAATTTGTCATGCTGGCAAAACAGGTATTCTGCAAACTGAAAAGGCACAAGACTCCTGGTTTTGCCTAGTTCCTCTGCAAGTTTCCATCAGCCATCATAGTTACAATTATGAAGTTATCTTTCCCCATATTTTTCCATCATAAAAAGGTGCTCCATTATCTGTGCAAATTTAAACATAAGCCCTCTTGAAATCATTAATTGCCTCCATAATACTGAACTATTTAAATGAAAAAAATTCTATTTCCAAGGAGAAAAAAAAAAAACATTTATGGACTATGAACATGGGAATCCCTTGCCCTCTGAAAGGAATGGTTTCTGTGGAACCTAATGAAATGGTCTGTTCAGTTACATTGTTAAAACCATGATTAAAAATTCAAGTACAATAATAAAATTAAGCAAACTACATTCTTATAGCAAGCCACTACAATAAAATGAAATTAAAACATGCTTTTTGATTTAAAAAAGGAACACTTGATGTAGCAATAAGAGCACAGTTTGGTATGTTCATGTTTGACTGGCTTTCAGAAAACTTCACAGGTACTTGTATTTGAAGACAAGACTTCTTATCTGACAAGCATACCATACAATTAGCTTGCAAGAGACTGTGCAAGTTCAGACAGCTTCTAACATCCTTCAAAACAGGCTAATCTTAAGTTACCTTTAAAGTTCTGGTATCCCTCAGAAATAAATAAAAAGGCTATGCAGCTTCTAGTATACACACGTGGGTGAAGAATCAAAGATGTATGAAAACAAAGTGTTGTACAGTAATCTGGGTTCCAGTAGCATAAACAGGAATCTATAGCTAAAGGGGTTTTTTTTACCTGGTTTGGTTGTGCAGCGTTATGGGATTTGTTTGAAGTCCATTATTTAAGACTTACTGGTAATAGATATGGAAGGATGAGGAAAGGAAGTAGTTGGTACATTACTGATTTCATTGCAGTTATACATAGTTTAAGGGTCAACAGTGGTTAAAAAAAAGTTTTCTGCTTTGTTCAGAAGAAAACAAACACCAGTCAGTTTGAGATACCCTGAAGCCCCGAGCCAAAAAATGTACTCTATTGGATTATGCCACTACTTAACAATGAACTAGTAAAAGGAGAAATTAACTTTTCTGAAGCTTACGTATGCAGATGGCTTACTAACAAACACGGCTCTAGACATGGGCTACAGACAGTTTCAAGTCTGTGTCAATGAGACCCACAGGTGTGAAAAATCACAACAAAAAAACCCCTCTTTACCATGTATTTGAATTTTCTACATGCTACTGAGACTATGAATGCACTTGGCAAGTAAAGCCTAATGACAATGAGACTAGCGCTTAAATATTGCTAAAATACACTTACGACTTTGTTAAATAATGTTTTAAAAGTTTCATTTCTCAAGAAAGGCCAGAAATTGTGGGTCAAATGTCTGCTTCTGAAATCCTTCAATTCCGTTAAAATTATCTTTTTTGTGTCCTTTTCATTGTTTTTTTTTTTCCAAGCACCCAACAAAACAGCATTTTCTGAAATGCTGAGCCACATGAACATTCCTTCCACAACAGTTTAAGTATAATGCCCATTCCCTCTCCTCATTCAAAACTGCACTTCTGAAAGCAGGGTTTGGAAGAATAACCAATGCACGAAGAAAAGGGTGTTCACAGCTCTCAGAAGAGGAGGGCAGTGGGGGGGGACCACCTTGCTGCTTTTAACAACAACCACAAAAAAAAAAAAAAAATCACTCTGGAAAAGGCAAGTGAGAAAGCTATTACATGAGGTTTAGTGCATCCAACTACTTGATTTTCCATTACCAAGTCAGCCTAAAGATACTCTAACAAAGTTTGTGTTCTCAAAGCTGTGCAGCTCTTTTCACAAAACTACATGCCACCTGGAAACGTTAAAGAGATTAACTGCTGCAGGTAACTTAGGGCTATACTTCTTAGTAAGCAAACCTTTGATTAACAGACTTGTAGCTAGGATATTAGAACTTTTATGTGATTTTTCTATGTTAATTTAGTCATTCCTGTGGTCTGTTCAAATATTTGTCCATGTCTGGACTACAGATGCAGTAAGTGAAGGAATGCATCTATTATATGATTACCTACACATTTCATTCAAAAGGTCTCCAAAGCCTTTTTAAGAAGTCAGTAGAAACTATTATTATTCCTTCAGTTCAATGATGCTGAATCACCAAACAGCAGGAA